TTTTTTTTTTTTTTTTGGGGGGGGGGGGGCGAAATACCAATTGAATCGTGTCGTGCGAAAACCGCGCTATTCTGCCGTGCTAAGGAAGAATGTCGTATGACTATTCGAGAGTTGCCAAATTTCTTCGTAGGAAATCTTCAATTTTTAAGAAAGTTATGAATATTTTCCCGTGAAATTTGAAGAATCTTTAGATCAAATTACGAACGGGACCCTCTGAAAAATCGGAAGAAAAATATTCATAATTTTTTGTGAAAATTCTTATTTTGTCGAAGGAAATTTGGCAACGCCAGATAGTTCGTGCGGCGTTCTTCCTTAGCAAGGCAGTATTGTCCATCATTCCAATCTTTAGTTTTTTGGGTTGATGATACTTTTCAGAGTTAAATGCAACCATGAAAGTGGTGTTAACACTTGATTTAGGGTTATCCGCATCCCAAAACGAGTATTGGCGCCACTTTCATGCAGTGGCGTGGCGTGAATAATCGATTATCGATATCTCGCCATTTGAGGCCATGGCAAAGAATCGATTACTAAGGTGTTCGCTGCGAACACCCTGATAATCGATCTTTTCCATAGGTTTAAATGGGACAACAATCGATATATCGCAATTCACGCCACGCCACTGCTTTCATGATTGTATCAACGCTTCAAAAGTATTATCAACATAAAAGAACCGGAAGCTGAAAAAATGGACACCAGCGGTTTTCGGACGACCCGATTCAATTGGAATACCGCTCAGACCTCCGAAATAAATTCGAAGGCACCCATCAAAAGCAGCCAAACTGCATTTCTTGTTGCCTCATCGGACTGAATTTTGTAATCAGCGGCTAAAATTTCCGTAAAAACACTCGTGTGCACAGGGAAGTTGATAGTACATACGTTGTTTTTTTAATCAATCGGAAATTTTAAGCATTAGGAAGTTATTGCATTTCCTCTCGCCGGCCGTAAAATGTCCGAAAATTGATAAGGTAATCGCGCGCTCTCATGTAATGGCGTCGTATCACGGTAAGGCCGATCGCGACAGTGACGAGGTGTAGATCGATTATCGATTTCTTCCCGTTTGAAGCTTTGGCAAAGAATCGATTATTGAAGTGTTCGTTGCGAACACCCTGTTTATCGATCCTTTTCCCTTGGTTTTAACGACAGACCAATCGATGTATCGCAAAGCACGCCATGCCATCGGGCTAATCGCGAGTTCGTTTCTCTCCTCGCACCTGCCGTTTCCCGAATTTCTCGGAATCGTTTCCGAGTTTGAGTGATCGCGACTTTGCGCCTCGCGCGGTAATCCGGGTGATTTTCAACCTGATTTTTTCGGTCCTTTGAACGGTTTTTTTCCGGTGCACAGCTGTCGGACCTTTTGTTGCACCGCGAACCCTCCGACGTTGGACGGTCGAGTCAGATGCACCGTAACAACGACTTCGGATTTTTCGAGTTTTACGGTACGGAGCTTGTCCAACTCATTTCTACGAACGGAGCGAACGCCACGCTTTTCTATTCTGCCGTGCTAAGGAAGAACGCCGTATGAACATTCGAGAGTTGCCAAAATTTCCTTTGATAAAATGTTTATTTATTAGGAAAATTATGAATATTTTTCCTCTAAATTTTCAGGAACTTTAGATCAAAATACAAAGAATATTCTCTGAGAAATTGGAAGAAAAATATTAATGAGTTTACCAAGGAATTCGTGTTTTATTGAAAAAAATGTGGCAACGCCTGAAGGTTCATACGGCGTTTTCCCTTAACACGGCAGTATTTACTTTCCTCCTTGGCATCGAGAACCTGCAGAAACCAGGAATAGAGAATTTGCACGTAAATTTTTCATGGTTTCTTCTGAGAGTGCTTGAAGAGCTGATTTCGCAGTTTTTTTCCCACAATGTTTATCCGACACGGGAAATAGTATTAAAATAGACTTAAAAGTTAAAAAAGCCCAGTGACGTCACCTGGCCGCTTTTCCTCATTTAGACACATAGTCACCTTCCGGCCAAAGTATCACAAGCGCCATGTGACGTTCAAAAATTTCCGCCACCCTTTTGTTTTTTTTTACAGAGGAATTGGTGGTTGAATCTTTTTGAAAATTTCACTGAATTTTATCGGCAGTTCAAAGAAAATTCAGTGACATTTTCAAACGGATACAACCAACTATTTTTTTGTAAGAAGATATGACGGCGGCGGAAATTTTTGAACGTCGCATGGCGCTTGTGATACTTTGGCCCGAAGCTGACGACATGTACTATAGCAGATTCGATCGTTGTGTCATATTTCCTACAATAATTGCCCAGCTTTTGAATCAAGGAGGGTTTTATCGTGTTCAGTTCACTCAGTGGTTTCCGCTTAAACACCAAATTCATAGAATTTCAGACACCTGAAAATTCTCTATTCCAGGGATACATTAGGGACCAAGGTGTGTTATGGCATTGGTACTAGAAACTTGGAAATTCAACTCTTTCCGCTCTAAGATCCCATTATTTTTAAATTTCTTTCGTTTACGTTGACTCAGCTTTAAGGATCCTTAAGGACGAAGTAATTGATGTTTTTCTGGTGATTAATTTATGTAATTTAGAGGAAATTAGGACTAAATCCCCCAAGTTAGTATTAACTAACAAAATTCTCTTGACTAATTGATCTTGTCTTTTGTGTTTCAGCCATGAAGAGGTTCCACGATGGAAACGCTCCTGGTCAGTTTAATAAACGATCGCGAGGTCCCATCGAAGAGGGCCAGGTCGAGATCCGAGTATTAATTCCTAGCAAGGTAAATCGAAAATCATTTTTCTTTTTTTTTCAAGACTTGCTGAAGTCAAATCCTGACAAGCTTTTACATGGCGCTCCGGTTATTGGGTCGAAATTTTTGGCCTTTAAGGGAAGGAATTTCTGAAATTTTTCCTCCCGTTGCAGAATTCTTGGTGTGTTAGAGTCCTCTGTTGAAACAGAAACGATAGGTTGAGCTAATTGGTCAGTGTTCAGCAGAAAGGAACCAAGCTACATCAGCTTTTGCCAAATTTTACTGAGCAATCTAAGTTTACAAGAGAACGTTTGTAAGGATTCCTTCGAGTTCTAAAGTTCTAAGGACTTTGCTTCGCTTTATGCAGAAAAGTCACTGAAAGTGGCACAAAAATCCACTCAACCGTTTTCATGTAAAAAATTAAATTGTCCAATTAATAGCTGATGTGGTTTGGTTCCTTTCTGCTTGACGCGGTCCAAGTAACAATGGGGCAGCACTGCAAACCAGATAAATGTTGTATGAATATTCTTAAGTGGTTGAACCTCTTCTGAAGAATACAGTGATTGACAGTGTGTTTGGCTGTAGAGAAGGTGCAGTACAGGGATAGCTGGAAGTCATGACTGAGGGGTCAACTCTTTTCTTAGGAGAGGGTCTAGGGGGTCTTCTCCTAAACCAATTGTCCAGAATTAAACTTTTTTAATTTTTTATAATAGTTCCGCAGAAAGTAATGTTCTAACATATGCAGGTGGAGCAACCTTTACAAGCCTTTTTATGGTATTAAAATGTCATACATCCATCTCTTTCAGTAAATTTCTCACATTTTTTAAGGAGACGGTCAGAATGTGCACAAAAGTGCAGGCGTTCTGGGCATGTCCTGGTAAGTCAGTCTGCCCCGGAATAAATACGAAGTTTTCTGAGAAATTTTTAAAATTTCCCTTCGATTTTTCCAGAGTGTTTTATGTCGATGGCTAATTGACTCAATCGCAATGTTCAAAAATCTCTGTTTAAGTTTTATAATTCTTAAAGGACACTTATCAAAAATTTTCTATGCTATTCTATTGATTGTCAGATTTCAACAGAGACTGTTCATCAAGTTTGCTTTAAGTTTCTCATGTAATGTCAAGTAATGATATTCATAACTATTTCGGAATACCATTTCATCCTAATTAATTAATCAAGAAAATTTTATCGAATGCCTTCGGCTCAAGTGAAATACTTCAGAATGACCAACTTTTTTCTCTCTATTTCTCTTTAGGTTGCCGGCTCGATCATTGGGAAAGGAGGAGCGAATATATCCCGTTTGCGTAATGATGTAAGTACTATTGCTCTGACCCCTTTTGTATGGAATCCTCTCGTTTAACATATTTCTAGACATTTCATTAGCATCAGAATCGAATCGTTTTTCCTTTGTTCCTGGGAATCAATGAAGGTCCTCAGAAAATTCACACTTGCGGTACTAACAATTAAATAGGGTTTTATAAAAATCCCCGCGATCATAGAGGTAGAAAAGGATTCCCGTTAAAACCACATTGTCACAGGACAACTCTTTGTATTAATTTTTTTATACCTAAGATATTCCTTTCCAACTTCAGAAGGACTTGATATTTTTTTATTTCTTCACTCCCACAGCTTAATAAAACGTTCTTCTTCAGCATTTTCTGCCTTTTTTAATTTTGCCTAATTTGATTGCCTGATTGATTTCTACGTAAATCTCTAAAAAGTAACGGATGAAAACAATCTGCTCCTGTTATCAGCTATTCAGAATCCTAAAACTTCAGGAGCATTCTTGAAGCAATGAAATTCCGAAACTTACGTAGACTTGAGTCTACGCAAAGGCAATTTTCGGTCCTTCAAAATATATTTCATTATTCTGCCTCACTATGTGCAGTTTCCACTCCATAAAACAATCTCATTATTTTTTATTTTTTTTTACTTTTCCCTTTTTTTATTAATCATTAGGGAATTCCATGGAGTTTTACTTTTAGATACATCCCACTCGCACAGTCCCTGATCTAGTTCTTACATGGTCCAACAAGTGAATTTCCATTTTGAGGTATAGATTTAAGAAAACGTGTAGAACAGGGAGGGGCTCTCCGTATCCAATACATTTGGAGGTAGAGAAGACTTACTCATTGCGGTAGGGTTTAGAAGAAATAAATCCTCTTTCTCCAAGTCTCGACACTTAAAAATGTTCCCTCTATTCTCGGGCTGGAAGTTGAAATATCCTGATAGATCAATGACTAACATGGTTGCTCATTCCTGCAGGCCAGGAAGGGAAACGTCATGCTAAAGATAGTCTCATTGAAAGCGGATAAACTTCACCATTAATTTACTGTGAGAAACAAGACTAGCTATTTCAAATTAATAATTGGTGGAAGACAAGTATTTTTGAAAATTGCAATATTTGCAATAGCATTCAAAAAATTATGACGTTCAAATTCACACTAGTAGGAAAATCATCTCGTAGACCAATGAGATCCCATTTCTTCGCCCAGTGATATATCTTAAGTTAAAACAACGTATGCAGCTGGCATTTTAGGCGTTCCTGTTGATTTTTATAGCAACCTCCACACATTTATTTTTGATCTAGTCCTTTATTTTTTAATATTACCTTGGTATCTGATAGGAAATACTAGGGGTTTTATCTCAGACATCTCTCACAATTCGAAAGAGGAAAATAGAATTACAACCCTTTCGGTTATCTCCCTGTTAGTATAAAATCAGGTTCTGTGCGTGTTAATTTCACATTTAGCGTTAGTTGATCCTCAACGTAATGAGTTCCTAATTGACCTTGTATTTCTCTCTCTCTCTTATTCTCCATGCGTTTTTTCGAAATGGCTATTTTATATTGCCATCCCGAATGATTGTCCACTCGCCCTTGATGAATTGCAAATCGAAAATGATCCACCCATTCGCCATTCAATTTGAAACGAACGCCCTTGCCCAACGCCACAATCAATTTGGACTTCAATTTGGCCCTGTCCGTTGCCCGATGCAGTTCAATGCCTCAGTAACTGTCCCAGATTGCCCCGGCCCTGAACGGTAATTCTCAACCAACTTCTCTCTAATAATATATCATGTATACTACTTCTCTTCTCTAATTTTTAGTTCTCCACCACTATCTTCCGTAGGTAGTCACCTTTTAAGCCTCAACTTTTTGCCTCAGGGTTGCAATCAACAGGTCAACCCAAATACCCAATCCCATTCTTGGACAGTGAGCTCTCAGCTCGTTTCAAGTGAAGCTCCAGTTTCTAAGCCAAGCGTGTCCAATATTCAGCATGGAACATTATTACAAGAAGCACAGAATTTTCTTCCAGGGTGTGAGCCTTCTAAAAATAGATGAAACAAGACTGTCATGTGATTACCGTACCATACTCCTAAATAGGAACCTTGGTAACCCCGAGAGACGAAAGAGGTGGAGGCTCAAAAGTTTTTCATTCGCATCAGTTATGTAGAATATGGCAGTTTCAAAATGGCTATCTTACAAAACTTCGAACTCTCTAAAAAGGAAAACCCAAATTTTCCTCTGTAGAAAATACTCAGAAGAAATTACGATAGCAAAAACGTTTGTCTCATGCTTCTACACTCAAGAGAAAATGACTCTTCTCTTTGAAAAAAGGGAGGGGGGAGGGAGCCAGCAACCCTGAGTGCTTCAATGTTGGTCGGCCTTTAGCCATAGTAAAAAAGTGGAAGTACCCATTTAAGATCCATTAAATCTTGAATCGCTAATGGGGAGCGTGAACCCAGCAAGACTAGTCATTTACAATTAGGTAGTGGTTTTCCTTTTACTTTTCCTGTCCTCTCGGTGATCTCAAAATTTTAATTTCAAAGACTATTTCCGTAACTAGCCGATCAAATCTTTAGTATCCTCGCATACTGTTAGAGGCATGTTCTGAGTGATGTGAGCTGTTCCTGTCATTAATTAAGTATGAAAAGCTAGCATGAGGCTCTTTAGTCAAAACGTTCTTGTTTGAACCTGACGTAAAACCAGTACTTGACTATTTTTACCGTTGAATAAGAGATTGAACTGGTTCATTTGTTCTTGCTGATGTTCCCTCATTATCAGCTCAATTTTATACTCTCTTTAAAAGTATAAATCATGCGCAGGAGAAAGAATGACGGATTAACTTCAGCAAGAGTAGCAAGGGCCTGAATGAAAGTGAAATTTTTTCATATTAAAATATGAAATTGAGGAAATAATGAAAAACCATGACCAAGCCTCATAACCAGACATGTCTATTTAATTTTATGCAATTAAGAAAGGAACCATTTTTAGAATATATTGAAATTGTAGGCAGTATTATCTGAAGAAAACCATATTTTCCAGAAGAAAATCAAGTTTTCTTCTACGAAAAGGTAAATTCAGATTTTGTAAGGGTATCGTATTTTCACCATCCCTCAGAATGAGATTCTCCAAGGTTCCCTGCCTTGAATCGTTTAAATTGACCCAAAGATCAACTAGTTACTCCTTTTTTTTTACCAATTTTCCCCTTATCTCACGGTAAGTATGGCTAATTTTTTATTCAATATCATTTTTGTACTCTGTTTTCGTAGGCCTATGTTTGTGGTTTCAGTTGAACATTTTTGAGCATTTAGGTTAAACTCAGTAAAAATTTCAGTCTATGCTTTTATCTTTTGAGAGCTTAGCAAGCAAGACGGTTCGAATGTTTTTGTACGATAGTATTTTAACCGTCTTGGTTAGCAATGAAAGAGGGAATTTTTTTGCACAGAAATGTTCTTCCCCACCAGAAGTCTTCACGTTTAAAATACTTTTCCGCATGCAGGCTGTCCTCTGTGTTGTCGCGTCATGTATTTGTATCAACTTTTACCTAACGAAGTTTAAGGCTCAGGTTAAAAATTCCTGTGCTTTCTCTGTTAAAAACCCTTTCTGAACCCTTCACTAGCTAACATACATTAGATTCCGTGCCCTCGTTTACACAATGAATTTGATAAATGTACCCTCTCTCGAAAGCCCTTATCACATGCTTTTATTTGACTCATGATATAATCGTTCGGAAGTTTCTTCGCCCAAGTGAGTTTTTGACATAGCATTTTTCTCACTCCAAATTTAAAAAAAAAAAAACCCTTTGTTAGAAGCCGGTTTAATGATGAAAATGCAGCAAACCATCCTTCGTTCTGCATATTAAAATCACATAGCATATGATATAGGCCTACCGAAGTTAAAATGTAGATTGACACTTGGACAGATTTGACCATATTCAGCCAAACTGAATTTGTGTTGCCCAATTTTCTATTATATTTAACTTTTTTAACCGAGTACTGATCAATTAAAGCCTTTACACTATCTGTGAGTTACCGCAAGTTATGAAAATGTACCATTAAAATTTAAAGTTGCCTACTTTGATATTTGAAAAATAAAACATTTAAGAAAATTAGGCGGCATCTGATGTAGTTGGGCTTATTCCGATAAAATCGACTACTTGTGGCTAGTGCGAAAGATGCACCATTCAAAACGAGCCACAACAGAAAGATGTCTTGTTTCTGAAAAAAAGCATTGAAAGGCTTTTGGAATTGTCACCTCCATGGTCCAATGTACTGGAGGGGATTGACTGGATCGTCTTTAAAGGCATCAAATCATTTCCTAGAAAAAACTGGTCATTCACTCTTCACAATCAATTTTTTTTTTTTTTTACTTTTCTCATTTCAAACTTACTATATTTTTTTAACCCACCTCTTCGCTTTTTCAGTATCTTGACAATCCAGGCTGAGATGGACAACGCCATGAAGGTCCTGAATGATGTTGTTCCTGGTCTTGCTGATTACGTAAGCATGTTTTTATTATTTTATTTTCATGATTTACGTTTTTCATGGAAGAGTTCATATAATTTTTCGCTCGTTCCTCCTATATCATTGTAGCACTGTATTTATAAGTTTACACTCCTCATTTCAAGTAAAAGGAAACTTAGAGCAAAGGTAAAACTCACATGTCACAAATCTCATAAATTGATTTATTGTACGGTCAGATAGTATTAGAATTCCCTTCTTAATCCATGAGTCATTCTCCAGGGTTACGAATTGATTATCTTCTCCTGTAAAAAAGCTTGTATCATTTTTCCCTAGTGTATGGATCTTCACAGGGTTTTTTCATCAGTTAAATTTTTTTATAAATCAGTGAAAAAGTGGAGCTATGGAATTTTTGAGTAAAGAAAGGAGAAAATTTTGAATATTAAGAGTTAAATTAATACAAATGAAGAACGGTACCAGAACAAGAAGAGCAGACATGGTTTGTACGGGTTCTGACAACCAGGAATCATCAGAGTATTTTACAGGTCAAATAAGCCTGGAAATTTTATGCTATAGACAAGAAATTTGAAATATCTTGAAACTTGAATTCTGGAAGGAAGAAAGAAAGAATAAAAAAAGCGCTGTCTCTTCTATCAAACTGAGCCGAAGTCTAGTTCAGAGTTTAATTCTTTGAGTTACACTTAGTTAGTATGGTGAACAGAGGAATCAATTTAATAAGGAATGGAAATTTTAGTCACCTTAATAATTAATTCTTTAATTTTTTGTTATTTGCAGTGAAATTGATGCCAAAAAAAGTTCAGTTTTTGTTTCAAGCATTCAAAGTGTTGATCTGAAAAGCCAAGGAGTTGTGATTAATTTATTCCGAGAATTTGTTTCTGTCGAGACTGGAGACACCCTGGTGAAACTTAGAAATAATAATCTTACTTTCAGATAATTAAAATTCATTTTGTTTCAACTTTCAGGACAGCCGAGGCAGGCCTCGAGGTGCACCAAACAACCAAGGCAATGGAGCAAGCAGCGACCAGATTGATCTCCGGCTCCTAGTTCACCAGTCCCACGCTGGTTGCATCATTGGTAAAGGAGGTGGCAAAGTCAAGGAACTGAGAGAAGTGAGTTGTCATGCTGGACGAAAATAACGCACTGTTTTTCACTTGCTTTTCCATTATTCCTACCTTTTTTTATTCTATACAATTCAAATGAAAGGAAATAAATGTCACCACGTAAGATTGTATCAAAAGGCAAAGCTAATTGTAACAGCTCGAAATGATTATTGATGCAACTATAAAGTAGCAGCCAGGAGGGACAATCTCTTAATGAACCGTAGAATAATGATGCTTCGCAATCAGAAGCGAAACTCCCGTAAGAATGCGCTGAAGCAAACCCCATACTTGCTTACTATGATGCCAATTTGTGCGTTCTTGAAATGAGCGCGGCAGGACTTTTAAATTTCGAACCAAATCGGCAATCCTGATCGCACAGGCTCGCATTTGTTAAATGTAAACAGTTCTGCACTAAATATTCTTCTTCTTCGCTTCAACTTCCCTATCCCAGTTTTGCTTCTGGTTGCTAAGCATCATTATTCTATGTAATAATCCATAACCTATACCTCCAAACATGATATAAAATCCTGTGAATTAAGTTCTGACTTCAGGTTGTCTGCGAGTTGTATTTTTTTTTTTTTTTTTTTTAATAGCAAACAAACCATCAAGTAGTGATACATCTGAAGCTGTACTTGATCGATAAATTGAATAACTTATGTGATCATACTTACGATTGTCCACAAAATACTTGCCAGTGTCCATGAATGAAAGTTTTTGCTTGCTCCAGACGAAATTCCATCAGAGTATCTTGAGTCGGCACAGAATTTTGACAGCAATTCTTTTTTTGCTGTAAGAGCTCAAGATTCCTATTTTATAATGTTTGAATTGCTGGCAATTAATTTTCACTGTTCTTATGCTGCCGTTAGATTTTTAAATCATGCATTGTAACAAGGTGGAAAAATGGTGCGTGGGTCCACACCATTTCGCAGGGAAAAGAAAGTGAAGAAGTTCCAAAAATTATATTATATATTTTTTTTTTTTTTTCTCGTTGATTGTCACTCCATTCTCTTAGATCTGAAGTTCTATTAAGGAGTTATTGAATTAGATTTTCTCCTCTGTTTTGTTCTTCGCTGTCCCATTATTAACTGCTGTAACCCTTTTTTTTTCTTTCAGAAAACTGGCGCACGGATAAAAATCTATACCAACTGCTGTCCTCAAAGTACCGACAGAGTAGTCCAGTTGAGCGGTGGAGCACAGACTTGCTGTGACTGCGTCAAGGAAATCTTAGAACTTCTCGAAACGGTGTGTAAAGTAGCATCTATTTTATCATGTTCTGTCCATTTTAATTTAAAGAAAATCTTTGTTGTCTGTAAAGATTCCTGGAAGCATTGACAATACATTATGTAGACCCTGTATTTCCAATTAAAGCAATGCTATTGGTTGAGGCAAAAGTCTAGTTTAAGTTGAAAACTTCTTGCCTGTAATTCGTAGATGATTAACAATTATTTAATTCAACTAATAATGGCTGATAATTTTCAAATTGAGCCGTCTGTAAATTGAGTTTGTCAAAGTTGGTCTTGTCTATGAAACAAATTGGTCATCACAAGGCAAATCTTAGGGTTGACGCCCAAAAAAAACTTTTCCTCTCCGAGGAAGTGGAGGAGACCTTGTAACATTGTGTCTGCCTTTAGGTACGACTTTCTAGCAAAGCTTGTAGGCCCTTAGTAACCTTTGAACTATTCCTAATCTGATGTGCTTTATGATCATTGCAGCAAGGAAGCACAAAGGGTGTTGATACTCCATACGATCCGTTGAACTATGACGATTACTACGCAGAAGAGTACGGTGGTTTCGGCGTCGGAGGTGGTCAAGGCTACGGACCAGGCGGCCCACCAGGAGCCATGGGTAGGAATGGACCTATGGGTGCGTCACGCGGATTCAGTGGAGCCCCAAGAGACATCACTGCCAGAGGAATTGGGTGAGTGATCTGTATTTGCTTTTTCTCTTGGCTTGTATAATCTTAATATGTGGCAAGATGTGTGAAAAAGGACGGACTGCATCTTCCAACAGTTCAAAATTTTGAATCATCTGCACCCAAGGTACACTCTACTACAAGTATGGACAAACGGGGTGCCAAAGTGGCAGCGCTGAGATTATAGGCCATCGAGTGACGTCGTAAGTCGTACTATCTTTGCCGCGCAGTTCAAAATGAGGTTCTGGTAGATCCGTTAGCTTCGATAAGGCATCAGATGAATTTAAAAAATTGATAGAACTCAAAATATCAAAAACCTCAACTAAGAACACGAAAAAATAACACAAAATTAACGAGACCCACTCTTAAAACAGAAAATAAATAAGTTTTCAATATGGCGTCGCAGTCGTACCATTGGACGCTGCCAAATCTACGCATCTCGACGATTTTCTAAAATTCCATTTGTCCATACCTGTAGTAGAGTGCACCTTGATCGGTACCTTTGCATAGACGCAGAAAAGCTGGGCATTTTTTACCTGAAATCTTAAGAAATTGGCCGAAATATGAGTCAGGATCTAAGTGCCTTGAAAAATCATCAAATTCTCTAGCCTTTTTTTCTGAAAAATTTGATTTTTGAAAAAAGTTGTTTGAGTACTTTAGAATGTTTGATCATCTAAGTTATCATTAAGTTCTTGAAATGCCTTTCAACCCCCCCCCCCCTTTTTCTCTCTCTTTTTCAATTCATTATCTAATGTTATTTTTTGTTGTTTTTTTTAGTGGAGGAAGGGCACCAGCAGGTTTTGGTGGATACGACAACTTTGGTAAGTATCACTAAATCTCTCCAAAATAATCCTGCCAATTTTTTTTTGTCACGATCACATCGCTGATAGCACTGAAACCTAAAGTTCAAGGTTCCCTCAGTAATTCATTTTTTCCTCCTCGATTTGTCTTTCGTCTAGGAAAATATGGACTTTTTTTTCATTGTTTGCATTTTTTAGTACAGGAGGGCATTCTCTCATGTAACGAAAATAGTGCTAGGGAGAGAAAGAATATTTAGAATCATAAGAATTCCTTTTCTACCGGAATTACTAAGTGTTCAACATAATTTCTTTAATTTTCGAGAGTACTATGTTTCATTTGTCAATCAGTCAAGTTTCGCAAACTGAATTTAAAATAGGTATTTGGAACCTTGAGCGTTTTCTCTTTTTTTTTTTACATTGCTTCCGCCTTTAACACCATCATTTTTAAATAAATCTTTCATTTGGAAGAAAGTCCAAAAAAAAAAGTCTGTGAAATCTCAGTGAGTCAACCTGAGATCTCCTCCCAAATCACTTGCTTTTAAACTTTGACCTAGCCAGTCCAAAACTACCGAGACTTAAAGCTGCACGAGTAAAGGCCTAGGCTGATGTCGGAGAAAATTGTGCTCTCGAATATGGAAGAGTTTTTGTGTTCATCTATTTTTTCACCAAGCCATATCGAAAAATCTTGAACTTTTTTTTCACGCATCTTTCATAGTCTCAAAAAGCAAGGAATTTTTCCATTATTTGATATTATGTAAAACCCTCAAAATCAAAAATCTTTAAATGTAAATTCTATAGTCCCTCTATTAGAGCTAAATTTTTCAGGAGGCTGACTTAATTCAAGTTTGGTATTAAAAAAATTTCTACGGTTGACGAGAAATGATCCACAGTATTTCAAAGAATTTGTGGTAACACTTGTTGCAAAAAGAACTCCGAATAATTCAATTGCAGTACAGGGCGAAGGTTTCTTTCTTGGGTGAAATAATAAAGGAATCCACCTGCACCTAAATTTGAGACCAAACAGATAGACTCATTGAGATTTCACCGTAGATGATCTTAACATTGGTTTTTTCTCATTTTTCACAAGATACTGGAACCTGATTTGGAGTGCATTTTGCAATCAGGAACTCTAATTTCTGGCTCATTTCAGAAACAGCACATGTGACATAGTTTGCCTCAGCTGGTAAACGCTTTTATGGAGGAGCCTGAAATTGTAGTTCCTTATTGAAAAATGTCGTCCATTTTATCCTTTCATCCTTGAATTTGTTTTTTATCTGTCAATTTTTTAAATTGATTCACTTATCCTAATTTTCTTTTCACTTATCAGTGTGTATAAAATACTTTTAAATTAGATGTTTAAATCAGGGTGCGGAGAGGGCCAATTTCTTAAAGTGTTTCTTTTTGCTTGAAGTTAGTTACCCTTAAAATCCAAAATAAATCATTAATCTTTATGCACAGACCCTACGATATTTGCTTCATGGAACTCAAAGCAGTGTCATGGTATGAGGTCTTTCTTCTTGATTCGCATTCTGCTTCCATCTCATTTGAACGCAGTGGGACAAAAACATAAATATGCAAGAAGTCTCTTTTCTTCCTGTCTTGCTCTATAGTTTCTATGAGGAGCAAGTAGAATACAATCGAGGAGAAAGATTTCAAGCATCGACTCTAGACTGAGAAATGTTTTTGCCGTTCAGTGAGTTTTTCTTAATCCTTCATCCTTTTCACTGTGATTGTTCGTGTCACAGCAAAGTTCAGATTTTCTAACAAACAGGGTTGCCACAGTCAAAGAGGAATGGAAAAACCAAGGAATTTCAGAGAATTTCAAAAAGTCAAGGAAAATCTAGGAATGTTACAGATAAATACTCTAAACTAACGCTGATTTGCTTTCTTGGATGGTTCCGACGTTTCAATAAATTTTTGGGTGAAAATTATTTCAAATAATGTCGACTCTATGCACTCTATACACTCATGGAGTGTATTCTTATATGTCAGGAAATTGTCCCAAAAAGTGTCATTTTCTAAATTCTGTGGCAATCCTGTACAGAAGATGACTCCTTTAATACCAACCAGTTTCTTCTGTTAGGTACAAATTTTATCCTTGTCACTCCAAAACCGGCAGACACCAACCTTTTAACTCAAAAGTGTTCAGTATATACTAGTCTTGTAAATCATGTCGTATGATTTTATATCCAGTGCCAGGAAAATGTTTGATTAAAATAAAAGTGGAACTTGCATTATTGTTCTTTTTGTGGTTGGGTTCTGCCAAAAATGCCTTTTTAATCGATTTTCAAGGGGAGGTGGAGGATTCAATGATTCTCCTTCCCCACCTGGCTTCTGTGGCAGACACCCTGAATCATCATATCACTCATTTTTGTGTTCAAAATGAAGTAGGTCGATCATCATATCATTACCTTCCAAAATATAGTCTATTGTATTCCTGTTGCTTCCCCTGACGGCACTCAACCCCTTAGCCTTACCCACCCCGTAGGGTTTTACTGCTTGTTAACTGTTTAATAGCTATTCTGTCAGATTCATTCAGGCTGGACGAAGATTCAGTTGCTTGATACATGTCAGTGTGTTATCTAAGAGAACTTAGACCCTAAAAATAACTTGGAATTTTTTCTGTTTACGAGAATTTTGTACTATACTGCTTCAAGAGTTAGGTTAACTCCAAAACGTACCAAGTTAAACTTGACAATAAATCCTGATCTAATTATTTTTCCAAAAGAACTGGGATGGAAAGAATTTTTTTTTTTTCAAACACTGACAATGAATAGAGACTTTCTATCATGCATCTTTAAAATAATATGTAATGCTCAGTTTTCCATACAAATCTTATGTTTTGTTTATTTACAACATTCAAAGTCAGTGACATTGTCAAATTAACTAACGGTGAGAACATCTGGTTATGGAAGGGTTTTTTTAAACAGTAAAATAATCTCGACAGCATTAGAATTAATTTTTAAAAATCACTCAGTTGGTCGCAAGGCTCAAATAAATTATGCCTTTTCAGGGATTGGCCTATCAGCCCTAGTGAAGCGTAGATCTGTTCTATTTGTCATTTTAGGATAAAAGGTTAAATCATGCAACTGAGCTCAGGATCAATCAAAATCTAACAATGGCTCCCGATCAAATGACGTCGTGCTTAGAAAATGTTTTAAATTTTAAAGTTTCCATCCAGAAAATCATGTTTGTTTCAAAAATGAGTTTGCGTCAGGAAATGAACAAGAAGGATTTGGCAATTTAACACTTCACCGCTCTCCTCATGCCCTCCTTTAAAACAACCCGAATATTCATTCCTCGTGTTTTACTTATTTATTTTTTTTACACCCCTGAGGTTGAAAGTAAAGCTTTATGTTGTCAATGTTCATTATATGTAAAGCTTCAGTAAAAGAAAGTGAGGATTAGCTCTCCTTTCAAAGTCAATCACCTTTTTTTTCTCTCTCTCTCATGCCCTCCAAGTAATTAGTGTCTATATTTTGTAGGTAATGGTATGGTAGGCGATGCCTTGCAACCGGCTGTAGCCAATGGTGGCCCGCAAACCTCGACTTCGTTTTCCATTCCCAAAGATGTAAGTTTTGACCAAAATGAGTATTAGTCCCGTCGATCGAGCAGGGTGTCTGCGATAGCTTGATAGTTAGAGTTGAGAAAAAGATCAAGGCAGTTCTGAAACTGTGGTTTTCTTGCCGGCACGATTCCTACCAACTTATTGGAATCGAAAAAAGCTTTCAGCTTTTCGGATGCCAATACAAAGGCTGTAGATGACGAAAATTGAAAACTAAAGGACTAACACTTTTGATCTGGAGAGAGCACTGGAAGACTAATTTCAGGCCCATTGCTCCAGTTGTCTTTCTCAGAATCATAGGTGGAAGTATCCGCCCAAATATCAACCCAGCTTCTATTCCTTCCCTACTTTTTTACTAACTTACTCGACTCTCATAAAGTACATACAATCTCTCTCACACCTGTCTTTGCTCCAAAGTTTAACAAAATTCACTCAACCAGGTTGGAATTCCTTTGTGTACTAAGTTGTCTTCTTTTATAAGTTTTTTCAACAGGATGTCTATAAGCCGTACTATACTGCCGTAATTTCTTAATTACATAGTTCTGTGCAATATGAAGTGATGACATGCGACAATTCAGAGTGGTGGGGTTTCAATTAAAATTCTGCTAAACCTCCCTCTCTCTGTTAACTCAAATTGTTATATCCGCCAAAAGGCAGCATTCATTAATAGTGAGACATCACCCAATCGTTTTTCATGAAAAATTTTCAAGAAGGAATTGAGAACATACATTTCTTCGTCTTTGTACTGTCGCCATGCTTTTTTCTTCATATTGTGCTGCGAAAAACTATTCTGAATTGTCATGTATTATTTTCTGATGCAATTAGACACCCTGTGCCACCAACATGATGAATTTTGACTTTCTGTAAAGTTTAACGCATAAATTTTTCTTGTATCAATCAAGTTTTTTCTTTCCCACCTGAATCTCATTTACGTTCTCACTCTGTTTCACAGCTGGCTGGGGCAATAATTGGAAAGGCGGGCGCACGTATTCGGAGAATTAGGACGGATTCCGGGGCTGGAATAATCATCGACGAGCCGAAAGACGGTTCCAATGATCGATTAATCACAATAACAGGTTTACCTCATCAAGTAGAAATGGCCCATCAAATGCTCCAACAAAGGTGTGTAACATAAAATCATCCATCAACAAGTCAAACGATGTATGAGCTTACCTCATTTCGGTGCTCTGGTGCTCTGGTGCTCATATCATTCATTACCACTGATTCCCTCTTTCGAACTTGGTGCAAAAGACCTCTCTCCGCAAGACAAATCATCGCTTTCTCATTACGGTGTATGCTTACTGATTATATGGGAATCACGGGTCATTGCTTGCCGATGATGTCTTTGATTTTTTTTTTTTTTATCTTGATTGCTGTGGTTTGAGTCCATGTCCAATAATTTTCAATATTCACAGAGTGAAGAAGGGGATCTACCATTTTGATTTTTATGTTTACATTTTGTGCTTATTGATAGCTCAAGCAGGTCCTCTGTTGCAGTCTAAAAATGCTCAAACCTATTTTGCGTGGACTCAAACCACAATTCAAATGCATACTTGTTGCCCCTTTACCAAGTATTTAAACGGACTGCATTTTGCAATTTGGAATCACATTATCTGGCTCAATTTGGAAACAACGTATGTATCATCAGTTTCTCAATGCACATGAATGGTTTTACGGATGGGCCAGAAATTGTAGTTCCTAATCGCAAAATCTGATCTAACTGTGCCACTGTTTATTCGGCATTATGATGGTCTACCTCATCAAATAAACCAGATTAATTTAGTGCTCAGTTCTACTTCTGCCATCTAATTTATCTTTTCCTCCTTGCATCTGAGCATGAAGACCATTCGCATCAGCCCCATTGCCAGTTTTTGCCTCCTGAAAATGTAAACTTACATACCTATTAACTTGAGGCGATTTGTTTATACTAGAGAGAATTCTAATTCCATAAATCATCAAAAACTTTGCAGTTTTAGGAAAAAGTGCTTTCAGAATCCTTTCTCAGTATGAAGTAGGAATTAGCTTAAGATTTATAGTGAAATAAGGATGACAAAATCTAATTTCAATCAGAGAAATGTATTTTTTCATACCCTGTCTTTCATTCACCTGATGAATTTTTCATGGCTTCCTTTACCCACATTCTGACCACGGACAATATGTGCGTAGAATGTCTTTTCGGTAGATGGTACTTAATCACCTGTCACAAAACTGCAAATTCTGTTTTCCATCTACTCCGTCTCTAATGACGGTAAGGTGACAAAAAATAATTGTTCCATTAGGTTTTGCTTTCTCATTTTCTTACTGACAGAAAGGGAGAAAAGAAAATTTTCTTACTGAAGAGGGGAGAGCAGAGCTTATTTTGTGATACCTCTGCTCTGAATGCTTTACCTTCTCTTTCAATTAACCCTAATTACTAAATTTCAACCAATGCAAAAGCTTCCGTAACACTGTAAGTCCTGTTAGCTGAATTCCTTCCCCCTCCCCCTCTTTTTTATTCATTTTTCTTTATCTGAAGCTTCAAGCACTGTTGCCGTGGTCAGGCTGTGGAATGATATTGGGATTATTTGTACATTGTGTAATCTACTTATTTTTATGGTATCAAATTTGGTTTGATCTTGTTCTTCCATTCTTTTCATTGACCTCAAACAGTTAAGAAGATGTGTAAATAAGGCTCATGATAGCACAATTTGACAACAGGAACCTTAGAGAAAATAGAGGATAAAGTCAACGTTCCTGGACCTATGTGTAATCTCATTCTTTTCAAAGTATGGCACTCGCCGCTTGCAAGTTGGCAACTGAATGTGGCATTAATCTGTCAAAAAATATGTGATAGAGTTCCTTTGCCAGCTTGTTGTGCTGAAGGTAGTCGTCAATTCAAGCAGCAGACTTATACGTTTCAAGTATTGAACCTCAAAGTGATGTGCTTCAGCATTTTCCTCCCAATTTTTCTGTCACTTTTGGTCTGATGTTTTTACCTTGCACCTTTATGAAACTTCATTTGAAAATCATCAGTGAAGGCATGATTTGCTGCAAATTATTTGGTCCTTCTTCTTCTTAACTGTTTGAATCTCCGATTTCTTGAGTGGGCCTGTCCCTTTAACAATCGAAAGGTCGACGAACATGAAATCTCATGCTGTGCTCTCTTGTGTATAAGCTCTATCAAACAATAGCCCCATCATGGGTCTCAATAGGACTCGAATAAAGAATTGCACGTTGCAATATGTGATGGAAACGATTTAATTTTTAACAAAGTTGCCACAGATTTTATAGCTCCGTGTGGATGATGTGCATGAAAAGACCACAGCTGATTTTCCATAAAGCTGATCCTTTTTTGATATAATTAATTCAAAACATGATGAACCATGGGAAATTGAGACCTAAGTGCAAAGAAGAAATTCTTCTTAGAAGAGTGGCTTTTGTCAAGTCTTGTTGAGAAATCTGAAAGTGGCTTTCATTTACTAAGCATCATGTACTATCGTAAAGAATAAATTTCTTCGGCGAAGTTCATTTTTGTGCTGACAAAGAGCATGAAGTCGCTTAAATTCCAAGTAAAAGAAGTCAAATTTTTCCTTGCTGCGCTTTTAAACTGCAAACTTTAAACCATCATTACTCTTCTCCGGGTAGACTTTTTTGGGTGTCGCTGTGTCAAAATTTACATGCAGTACTTACCCCAGCAGTATTGCGCTAATTCAATTATGAAATCTTTGCACTGAGGTCTCTTTGCCTGAAGACGGTCACATACTGAAGAAAAGCATCACTTATTCTTTCAACGTTAACACACTAAAAGTGTTTTTGTAACAAAAGTTCGTTCTGCGAAAGTTGCATGATTCTCAGGAACAACCGGCCATGGTCTCGATCAGCATCTTGACGATTCGATGATGGATTAACCTCCTGAACAAGTCGCTCACCTGAAGCATCGCAAGCTGCTTTGTCTAAAGCTATCCTGTCTCTTTTTCCGGCCTGTCTTGTATGGAAGACTAGTGATTTTGTTGTTGTGATGTTGGTTCAAACAAAAAATCTCTAGTCTTTTTACAATCTTGCCGCTTGTACTCTCTCTTCTCTTCGCTTGGCAGCTAAACCTCACTCATTGCTTTCTAACCGGATGGACATCGCTATCACTAACGCTCTTGCTCCTTCATCAGTGCTTGTCTCCTTTACTTCTCCGTGAATATGAAATTCGGGGTGTCTCAACAGCTTTCAACCAAATGTGAGAGCTAACCTGGAGTTTACACTGCTCAATATTAGTTATGGAAAAGATTTTCATACAGTTGCTAAAGAATTAGTCGCTTATTGCTGGAGCAGCAGAAAGTTAATAGCAAGTTGTGCCAAATTGTGATATCAATAGTTACAAATGGCATGGCACCATTGATAATCATCAAAAACTAATTCAATTTATGTGTTTAAATGATATTTTGTGAAAAAGCTGCAGTTTTTTTTAATTCTATCTCATGTAAACAACTCAAATTTTTTCAATAATGTGGAGGCAACAGCAAATCATTCTCTATTTGATATCAGTATTTTCACTGAACTTCAATTGAACATGCAGCTTATACATGGAGATAAATTTTTTTTTTTTCTTTGTATTAACTGTAACTATCATTTTCTAGCCTAAGAAAAAGCCTTTTTCCGTGGATTTTTTTTAACCTTTTATTTGGTAAACTTTCCGTGTTAAATCCCAGAAATTAAATGCTGGGAAAAATTGCCTCATTTCAGGTTTCGGCTATTTTACCATTGCAAGTGTCCTTTTCCCCCTGAAAGTTGTTAGTGTAAAATATTGGCTCTTTAAGTCACGCAAATATGTAGTTTCATCAAGTCGAAGAGTGGAAGTAAATAGAAGTCCCGAGTATCAGTTTCATCATTTAAGAAATATGATTCCAGGAGACGTGTCGGAAACTTCTCGGCACTTCAACTTCTGAAGTTGGACTACATTTTGCAATTCGGAAGTACAATTTCTGGCTCAGATTAGAAACAACATATGTGCTATTAGTTGCTGAGTGTATGTAAGTGTTTTTAAAAATGAGTCCGAAATTGTAGTTCCTAATTGAAAAATGAAGTCCAATTAAGTTGGAGTGACCTATTTCATTAGAACATTTTAAGTCTTTATCTAACATGAGGGATGCCAAAATAGGTCTCTTATTTTGTTTTTAATCTCTGTATCCTTTGGATCCTTCAACTTGAAACCATTTAAATCACGTCTTCAATGTCACTTGTGCAATATTTGCAGTAATATTTTACCCTGATTCCCAGGTTTTTCAAGCTATTAAAGTAGAAAACTTCACCTCTGTCATAACGTCTTTTCCAACGCATGGGCCATATTTATTTCCACCCTTCACATAATGGTGAAATCCATGATGAATATTCTGCCGTACTTAAGGTGATTCGTCAAGCTCAAGTGACGTGGTCGAACTGGCATGCGATATATCGCATCTTTTAGGTCAAAAATCTCGGCAGATTTTGAATTTTCAGTAAAGAAAAGGACGATAGCCCCTGCGCATGAGCCTAAAGAATCATTCTAAACCTTAAAATCGGCAAAATTCAGAGAAATGAAAGCAGGATAGTGTTTGGAAAAAAACCTCGCATTCGATTCAGCTACCGATTTCGGTATCGAATGCGAGGTTTTTTTCCAAACACTATCCTGTTTTCATTTCTCTGAATTTTGCCGATTTTTGGGTTTAGAATGATTCTTCAGGCTCATGCGCAGGGGCTATCGTCCTTTTTTTTGCTGAAAATTCAAAATCTGCCGAGATTTTTTACCTAAAAGATGCGATGTATCGCATGCCAGTTCGACCACGTCACTTGAGCTTGACGAATCACCTTAAGAAGAACGTCGTATGAGCCATCAGTCGTTGCCAAATTTCCCTCTACAAATTACGAATTTTCAGGAAAATCTGGACATTTCTCCTCCAATTTTCTATAGGATTTCGTTCTTAGTTTGATGTAAAAAGTCTGAAAATCTCAAGAAAAAATATTCATAGCTTCTCAGAAATAGATATATTATCGGAGGAAATTTGGCAATTCTTGAATGTTCGTACGGGGTCCTTCCTTAGCACGGCAGTATTAATGAACTGAGTTCAATAGAAACGCAACTAATCGCACTTTCAAAAAAATGAGTCGGGCTTAGTGTACACAGCTTAGTGCTTACATTACAATACAACTGGTGGTAAATTTTCTTCCATTAAGTACTCCAAGTCTGAAAAAATATTTTAACAGTAAATAGTCATCAAACTTCATCATCAATATTGAGTCTTATGGAAAAATAAAACCCCAAGCCTCTTTTCCTCAGTTTGAACTTGCTGCGACTTGGCGTGTTTTTATTAAACTCAATGTACATTGTCATTAATTCTAAGGTTTTGAGGTTTTCTGATGTATATGTACTGTACCATTATTATATCTCATATTACGTACTGTGCCATGATTTAAAAACTACTAAATGACACGCTTAAGTACCAAACAGCTGCCTTGTATTAATCTTAGGCTTTAACAGTCTTTTCATGGTAGCAAAATTCTCTTTTGAATTTTATTTACTTTCATTATAGTTAAAATGATGTCATTAGGCGAATTTCCGTGAGTGGATTTTTCGACCAGATCTGCATGGTTACCACTCGCTAAAGGAAAACGCTCAGCCAAAGGCAAAAACTAAACTCCGTTGCTTGATGAATCTTGGCAAATTTTTGCATCCATCCCCCTCCATTTTGGCATGCGATGCATTTCTGAATTTTGGATGTAGTCGTCATTGCTGCCAGGAGCCAGCATGAAAACCAATTGGTTCAGGCGTGCCGTCGCTCGGAGGGAATTTCCTTTTGTTGTAACAGAGGTTGGCAGTATCTTAAAAACTGTAACCAACCAAATCTACTCGTAAAATTTTGACTACTGTCATCAGCATTAAATCACAAAATTTCATTTGAGCATTAGGCTTAAAGGCCTGGTAAAAGTCTTGGTGTCAGCAAAGTCGCTTTTATTTAATCCGGATTTTAAGAACTTTTATTTCACTGAAAATCTTACGTTGGGCTTGGTGGAAGTGCTGTCAATCTTAAGATATGGTTCATCACTCAGATGCGCTTCAACCTTTTACCCAAAAATTCACTCCGCTTTTTTCGCTGAAAATCAACTTATTTCTGTTGATTTACATGTATATATTATGCCTGAAAAGTGTTCACGATATGATATCATAATCTAGTCAGGAGGTCATCATATTCAGTGCTGTTTTATATTTCATGCTTCTCTGGTCAGTCGAGGAAAACACCTTCTTGTCAGCAATTAATTTTTCTCTCTCTTATTTCGTACCTATAAAACTTTTATTTTACTCATTCAGCAGAAGCCTCAAAGAAAATTGTATTTTTATTTTAAAGAGATCATGTATGAAATACAATGCTGTTTTTCTGTATAACTCTTTCTTTCCTGTCTGTTGAGAAACATTTTGTGTAATAAACCAAAAGAAAGGAATCAAAACTAATTCAAATATCCGACATTCCTTCATCAGTTAATATGCAATAATACCCTTTCATTTGAATTTCTGTTTTTTTTTCCTCTTTATTTGCTGATGCGAATTGGTCCTGGTGCTGTCCTTACTGTCTCTTCTCATGATTTCTCAAGTAATTTATTTCAAATTTGTATTAATAACAGAAGGACATTGATGAGTGGTTATCATTAGCAAAACTGAACTTTAATGAGACTATATACTGTTCGTTTAAGTCCATTGGTGTTCTTGTTAAATCTGCTAAGGATAATTAGCATACCCAATTGAATGAAACTTGTTACTATCAATATCTCTTCAAAGAACTAATACTCATGACTTGAACGTCTCAGTGGATATGTAATTTCTATTTTTACGTAATTATTTATTTCTTTTTACTTACTGCATTGGACGTAACGTCGGTGCAAAGTTGATGTACATTTTCTGTCATCTCTTTAACTTCCATACTGGAACATTCCTTTGTCGTCCTCTATAATTTGCCTCATCAATATTTATTTTGTATCTAATCAAGTGAATTTCTGATTTCAGTATGGCAGAAAACAGCGGCCCGCCTCCCCGGTATTAAGTTTCCAGCCCATCGTGTACATTATTCTCACAAACTCACTTTAGAGTACAACAATTTTTGTCTCGTTCTTTATAATTTCAAAAAATATTTTGTTATTTTTTATTACCTCAAACGAGTTATGTATTATCCAAATACTGAAATGACCACGTAGTTTTAGTCATCTGATCTATATTTGTAATTAATTCATTCTTATCATTTCGTAAGTATCTCGCTCCTTCATGTGTCTGAAGTCCGTAATTTTTTAAGTGATCCCTTTGTCATGGTACAAAGGTTCTCCCCAAGTTGTGTATAGCCCCAGTCTTGTTTAAGTTAGTATTTATTGATCCTTTTTTTTTTAAATCCTACCTGCCGAAGGTAGGTTCTACGAGCTAAAACACTGAAGCCCGTATCACAGAAGCAGTTGTCTCATTTTCCTTTCTTTGAGTGGTTAAATACTTAATAGTCTCTTAAGTTGTAATGGATTGTGCTGTTTCAAAAATTATTCAGGCCCAGATCTTTATTTTGAATCATTCTTGTCTCAATATAGATTAAGTTTCCTCTCCGAACAAGTATGACCCCAGACCTGCATTTTATTAAGTTGTCCCTTTTCGCAATAAGTTATCTAAGAAGTCTCTGAATAAGTCTTCACTACGGGTGCACCATAGGTGATCAGTACCAATAGCTCTAGTTTTTCCACTTCAATCTCTTTTGTTTTTGTTTTAACCTTTTGATTTCTTGTCCTGAAAAAATATCATATTCTAAGTAGGAGTAAGTGTGTTCAATTTTCACACTTATCCACCCTTAAATCAGAGGCACAATTGAGACACTTAAGTAAAGAAGTTGAATAGTGTTTGATCAATAATCAAAAGTATTAGGAAATCTGATATCTTCTACTAAGTTCTACCTAACGCTGCACATCCAATAAGTAATTTAAGCGTAACGGATCTCGAAGATAATATTTTGAGGAACATTGGCTCTCCTTATGTTTTAAGATTTAAAGAAGAAAATATGTGTCCACTCTTTTACTTTTGTGTTCGGTGAACATTTTTATCTCCTAAGAACTCATTTGATTTTGTTGAATATACTTATTTTTGCACTCTGGTCAAAAATTTGCCATTTCCCTGCAGAGCGTAAGATGAGCACTGTCTCTAATCAATGTGGTAACAAAGCAATTTTTGCACTGAACGATGAAGCTGGTTCTTCCTCATTCAGCCTGCAAATCGGGTTTCAGTTGTTTTCGTCTCTGATGATCAGTAATTTTTATTTTTATTTCACAATTTGTATCTTCCACCCTGAAATCATTGGTCCTTTTATTTTTTATTTATTCTCTGTTTCTCCATTCTCTTTTTTTTAAAATAACTATTCATAAACGGTGAATAGCTTTGTTTGATGCTGACCATTTTCATTGTCGAAACTCCTTTTTCTTTTGATTACTTTTCATTTGTGCCCTATCTGTACAAGTATCATTGAATTAAATGTTGATTAATTATGGTATAATAAAACTCAGAAATGAACCCTGTGTTTTTTCATCTAAATCTGACCTTAAATCCATCTCCGCCTCAGAATTTCTAAAACCTTGGATTTCATAGATGCATAGCAAAAAAAATCCTATCTCAAAATGTTAATATATGACTTAACATGTTGATTGCCAAGGCTTTCTTAGCAGCTGGTACAAGAAGGCCAACAAAACGATATTATGAAAGCTTTAGTTTGGTCGCTTTCAGAGCACTGCTGGCGCTATCTGCTAGCTTCCCATGTTACTGATCACAACTAAATTATCCCAATGAGCGCATCACTGTTTTTCCGTTATCATTTAAAGATATCTTATCAGCTTTCTGTGTGTGTCAACTTGCTGCTCTCTTCGTCTGTCTCCATGACCTAGTTTGTACCAGTTTGGCCTGTCCCAATTGACTTATATGGCAGCTAACATGTTACGTGTACATCTGATTTTTGATGTCTTTCTAAAATCCATTGAAGTTTTTTGGTTCCTTCAACTTACAACTTAATTTTACATGACATTTTCTAATGATTACAAGAGACAAGTATTGAACTATGCCTCTTTTTTTTTGCAAGGATAAAGGAAGAAATATCTAGGTTTTGTGAGAAAAGAATTTACTGTTTACATAACAAAAATGTTTAGAAGGCACTCTACCCCAAGAAAGGCTCAATGCATCAAATTCGTTTCCCCTATTGAGGCAAATACCAATAAATATGTATATGGTAATGGGGCTACTAAAATGAATTAGTACGCCCTACCTTGACTCAAAAGAATTGCCTGTGATTACATTCATCTAAAATCTCTAGATTTGAATCAGTTGCATTAATACAAAGCAGCAGTAGGTCTGGAAACACGGGAAAGTCCTTTCAACACGTACCACTCTGACATTTTCAAAAAAGTGATCTGACCTTAGGAGGATGCACTTTAGAGGATGACATTTCATTTGTAGACAACTCTTTTAAGTCATTGGACCCGATAATCAGAAAAATATAATTAAAAGGCATGAAACGCAAGACATATTAACGGCCAAAATGCACCATAACGTCTCCAATGTGGTTTTTAAAAGTTTAAAATAGCTTGAAACTTATGCACGGAATATTTTGCCGACTGAGGAGAAAATAAGGGAAATTTTCAGGAAATTACTTTAACTAGTTTTCCAAAGAAAACATTAAGTCTGACAGGAATTCTGGAATGTTAAAAACAGAGGTATAGGGTTCATTTTATTAAAATCTTCCCATTAACTACCCACTGGTGTTCAATAAATTATGTGTATTTTAAATTCCAAAGAAATTATAAACAAGAAAACTAGCATTCATGAAACAAAATGAAATGAGGTAAATTATGCAGACAGGCAGGATTTACAGACTTGTTCAATTATGCCTAAAGCATTTACTTATTGTTGGTTAAAAACTTATTGCACCTTCCGCTTGAGTTCTTTAAGGTCCCTCTGAATGTTGAGAATCTGAAAAAGAAAGTGAATACATATAGCAAATCTTACAATCCAAAGTCATGAATTCTACATCCATTGACTGTCTCAGTAGTTGACAGATTCATCAAGGTCTCTTCTGAATGAAAGATGCAATGAAAGAGACAGTGAAAGAGACTTGGTGTTGAAAGCTGTAAATTACATCAGCTCTTCTGGTGCACAAAATTTTGTAATTGTGACGTCAGACTGAAAATAGATTTTCTAGGGTCAAATTTTAGCTCAGTCGATTCTGATTTTTTTTTATTATTATTATTATTACCTATTAATTTAATCAGTTGTTTGTTACAATTTCTTCAATATTTTAACTTTCTTCATCCTCCGAGGCCTTAACTCTTTTTAAAGATCTAGAAAAGGCACCTCTCTTATTCCTGGCCCATTGGAACTTTCGGTCTAACTGGTGATACATTTATTTTGGTGTGGACATTCAATTTTAAAACTAAAAAACTGTGTCTAAACATATTTAACAAGGTTGCCACAGTCCGGGCATGTGTAGTAACGTCAACGAAAAGGACGAAAGCGCCACAGAAAATTGTTAAATTCTTTCATTTGCCCTCTGAAATGGGTTCGATTCCTTAGACAAAAAAATTTTGCAAGATAACGATTTCCGACCAGTGTGTAATTTAAAAGTCAAAAATGTAAAAAAAAATAAAAAAAAGCACACGATACACGAGTCTCTCCACCAGGGAGATCTCCTCGCAAGAAATCGTTTCCCACCCGCCCGCCGGTAGAGCCGCGGCGTGCTGCCAGCGCGATACTCGCACTGACGCCTACAAACCTAAGGGGATACTTCAAGCAATGCGCAATGCGTGAAGTATCCCCTTAGGTTTGTAGGCGTCAGTGCGCGTTTCGAGCCGGCAGTACGCCGCGCCGCGCCGCGCCGCAGCGTGCTATAAACTTGTTCACAATTAATAGGTCAGAGGGTGTGAAAATGTAGGCAATTTTACATCACATTCGAAATTAGCGACTCGAGAAACATCAGTGACGAAACTTTCGTAATCTTTCAGTCATTATCCGACTTATATTAAGTCATCTGGTTTGCCTTCAATTAAAAAGGTAGGAAAAAGAGGTTGCAATAATTGTATTCACAGTTCACACACGCACACTATTAGAATGCCGAGACTCCTTAATGCAACGCATCACTACCTTGCATTAGAAGTTGCATTTCGTCAAATTGAAGGTGCATTACTTCGTTTGCTAAACGAAAGAACGTTGTGATTGTATAGTTGGCGGAGTGTACTTTTAAAATAGCTAGCCAAGTGTATTTTTACCGTGAAACAGGTCATTTCGAACTGCATCGATATTTCCTCTGATACGGTAGGTACACATAAGCAAAATTTTGAGCAGAAAGTAACTGTCCTATTCTTGTGAAAAAGTGCAATGTTCGAGCCAATTTTCGCAGCCTCGGAAGAAAGATAAGTTTTTCTCGTCTGACATGTGACGATAACGAGTACCTACGCAATCATCTCTTACTAATGGCTTGAATCCGAAGGTATATTTGAGGGGCTTGGAGGAAAACGTGCATAAAGGTAGTTTTTGAAAAAATTGAGGCATTAATGATTTTAAGTCAAACTAGTCTTAACGTATATTCTGTGAAAAATTCGCTCCCAAATTCCAATTTTCAAGCATCAAAAAGTAAGTTTAAACTTTTTTTCCACCCTTAGGATCCGTGTAATTTCAAAACTTCAAACACGTATTTCTCAAAATAGCAAAAACTCCACTTCAGCGCCTTGTCCTCCGAGCCCCACATTCAGTGGCAGATCCAGAAATTTGGCAGCACTGGATTTCCTCCATTTAAACCTATGTTAAATAATCGATTCTTGTCAGAGCGCCTGGTCCCTCCAGAAATCGATACTTTTTAATAGGTTTAAATGGAGAAAATACAATGTTGCCAATTTGCTGGATCCGCCAATGCCCACATTTTAGATATAATTTAACAAACTTTACCATATTCAATCGCTGTTCAGCGAACTTCTGCTCCACTTCAAGAGAACTCTCTCCTCCTCGGAGTCTCTCCAAAGTAAGCTTTTGGAACTTTTCACGCACCGAGTCTAACTTCCTCAAGAAATCTTCACTGGAGGTCCTTCCTCCGGCGGCATGATTTCGATCGAAATCCTGGTCATGGCGCAGTATTTTCCGCATTTGAGATCTCGAGTCTCTTCGCGTCAGTTTTTTGCTCTTCAAGCGCCAGTTTCTCAACGCCTCTCTGGTCTTTCCCCTCTGCAAGATTCGCTCCTGCGTCTCCAGAGTGAGTTTCCGCTGGAGGCGTCGCAAACTCTCGAGATGACGATCGTGAACATCCCTCTCGAAATCATCCTTGCTTCTTAGTTTATCTCCCAAAGGCTTCCGTGGCAATATTCTCCGTTTCTTTCTATACTTCACCCGGTTTGGAATTATGAAGGTGTTCCCATGTTGGATATTACTGGGAGTCGCCAGCGGCCTGAAGGAACTCTGACTTTCCCCCTCCTTTCTTTCGTATTTTGCAAGATGAGAATAAGATAGTTTTTCCTAGGATAAAGCAACATTATCAATCATTCAAAAATGCATTTAAATATTTTTTCGAAAAGGGGCCGGCCCTAAATGACAGGTTACGCTTTAGGGGGAGGAGAGTCGGGGACAGCGTTACGCTATTTTGTTTTTACGTGTTAAAGGGTAGGGACCTACGTCACAAAAGCGTTACAAGGGGGAGGAAAAATGCCGAAAAGTGCTTGGGAACGGCCCCTGAGTAAAAAAAAAACTATTTGCGTCAGGAGAGAGAACTTAAAATGTTGACCTGGACTAGCTTTTTGAAAGAGTCTTTTTTCTTTATCAACATTGAGAAGTGACAACTGCAAGACAACCGAAGACAAACAAAACCGATCGACAGAAATTCGTTTTATCGAGGGAGAGATGGGTGAAAATACCAGAGAAAGGACAATCTCTGCGGAAATATTCATTAAATTTTGTCCAGAAATTATTTCAAAAGTTGGAAATCAAAAAATCCTTGAAAGCTGGAATCTCGTTGACCGATCAGAGAGCAGAACTTTTTCTGGTGGCTAAAGAATTGAGATGACAATTCTCTACAAGGGCGCTCTGTTATTCAGGCGCTATAACTAACAGCGCAGGAGTTGGTCAACTCCCGTGCATTTCTGGAGAGGTGAGAAAAACGAAAATGCCTTCAATTTTGAACATGCAACACGCACATCCGCGGAACACGTAAAGTTTCATCAAGGCGCCTTAACTCACAATCAGTGTAGTATTCGTAGGTAGAAGTACCTAATCACGTCAATTAGAATCGGTAATTCTGAAAGACTCAGGCCCCAGAAATTATAATACGAGAGTTTAAAAAACAGTCAAAAACGTTTTAATCGAGCAGTTCAAAATGTTGCAGCTCTAAAAATATGAAAATAATGAATCAATTGATTACATCATTGTACGATCAAAAATGTTAAACGGGTTGATTATTACAGTTTTTAATGTTGTTCTCGCGTTTTCATTTCTGGCGCTTTCGTCTCAATAAGGATGATCGATTCAACCATTGACCTCAGATATTCTGGCCTCGTATTACTACCGAAAAATTATCTTCTCAAATGGGTGCTCAGTTGTGCTTCAACTAACGACAATTCCGGTGCATTTCTGAAGAGGTGAGAAACGCGAAAGCGCCTTCAATTTTGAGCGTGCAACACGCACATCCGTGGCACACGAATAGTTGCATCGATGCGATACAGCCAACTTAGTCTAGTTTTTTAAAACAAAAGCGCCTCCAACTTTTGATTATGCAACTCGCATAACCAAAATACTGAAAATTTGAGTAAACATTTAAATAAAAACCTTGTGAATTATAATCAAAAAATTTTGAGATAAATAAAAGAAAACAGGTTGTAAAATTTATGTTGTAAGAATATGTTCCGTAGTGAGCCATGCTCTTCAAGTATGAAGGACTTTGCTATCAGTTCAAACACTCATGAATAATAATCGTTGAAAATTTTGATAAGGGCTGGTTCTCTTACCATTAGATGAGAGGGTGTCAGTTGGTCCCAATATTCAAATAAATTTAACTTTGTCTCCGGTTTTGCTTTTAGCAACTTTTTGACCCTCACGTAATGCTCAATAGCCAATAATGGAGTTTTAGCTGACTTGATTCTTCTTGATGAAATTTTTTTGGTGACGTTCTTTTTCCTTTTGAGTCGCAAAGGCAAGAGAGTTTCCTCTGAGTTGCATTCCATGTCTGAATTTAAGACAGAAAAACTGACATATCTACATTTAAAGTACCTAGCCAAAAGGTGTCAACATTTTAATATGAAAGCTTAAAATAAGGCCCATAAACCAAACCACAAAATACAAAGAATCGGAAAGGCACCGGTAAGATATACGCAGTAGAAACAGGAAATCAATAGTCTATATTACATAGTCAAAAAAGTCTATCCATGTAGTCTATGTAGTTATCGTTCTCGGGGAAAGGGTGGTTGATCCTTGGCCCATACGAAATTCTTTGTACTTTTTTGATACCACAGCACAGAAGAGTGTCCTCTACGAATATTTTGGGACATGAGAACGTCAGAAAATTTCAAATTAAACGATTTTCGATACAATTTTTACATTTCGATACAACGAATTGCGCAAGATGGATGTCCACATTAGAAAAATGTAAGACGCGATGGCGTGAGTCGAAAACTCGCAATGCTCTGCTCTATGCTACTAGTTTGAAGCACCATTATTAATAAGAAAAACGAAAAGAAACAAACACAATATAGAAATAAAGCGGAGGAAAGAATGCGCGTTTACAACGGCGCAGAGATACAACTATTCGTACTTGATGGACGTCAGTGCTGCATCTGCAAAATTGAAGGCGCGATGACGCGAAGCGTGACCTCTCAATGCTCTGCTAAATGCTGTCAATGAGATGTCACTACGATTTGGGAATAAAGTTAAAAAGAGGCGCGAACACATCTCTCCTACCTTCGGCTGTGTTGAGACTCGTTCTTTCTTCTTTTTTCAGGTTCTTGTCTGATTCTTTTTTAGAGTGGATTTACAGACCCACGTTTTAAGCTCGTGTAAAACGCAGCACTGGCTCGGTTCTCTTGGAAATAATAGTGCTTGGATGCGTCTAGTGGCTAAAATTTTATGTTTTCTTTAATTTCAGAAGTTCGTCGGTTACTTCGATACGTTCGATTTTGCAATTTTTGCTTTGTGCGATTAATAAACTTTGAACCTGAAAATAGTTCAATTGCAGAGTGATAACTTACGCATTCCGAAGAGTTTAACTAGTAATAACTTTGCGCCTTACGAATGTGATGAAAGATCACATTGAATTGAATATTGAAGTAGCCACAACGCTGGTCTAGTCGGTTTACCTTTTCCGTTATTGCAGTTTTGAAAGCATAGTTTAAGTGCTCGTGAAATCAGTCATTCCATTTATCTCATGCTCGAATTTTATGCGACATGTCACAAGAGTATCCCGTTATGGAAAGTTGGCAGTTTCGGAAACGCCTTCCATTGCGGCGTGATACCTTACGCATTCTGAAGAGTTTGAATAGTTGTATCTTTGCGCCTTATTAATGCGATGGAAGATCACATTGAATTGAATATTGAAGTAGCCACAACGCTGGTCTAGTCGATTTACCTTTTCCGTTATTGCAGTTTTGAAAGCATAGTTTAAGTGCTCGTGAAATCAGTCATTCCGCTTATCGTGCTCCTATTTTATGATACAGGTCACACGAGTATCCCGATATGGAAAGTCGGCAGTTTCGGAAACGCCTTCAATTGCGGCGTGATACCTTACGCATTCCGAAGAGTTTGAATAGTTGTATCTCTGCGCCGTACAAATGCGATGGAAGATCATATTGAATTGAATATTGAAAGCCTCAACGCTGGTCTAGTCGTTTTACCTTTTCCGTTATTGCAGTTTTGAAAGCATACTTTAAGAGCTCGTGAAATCAGTCATTCCATTTATCTCATGCTCGAATTTTATGATACACACGCTGCAAACATGTGCTGTTTTGGCAACATTTTCTGAATTCCTCTCCACATAGGAAATTCCTTGCTAGAAATGTCACATACGCCCCTTTAACCAGCCAAGGGTCTACTCTCCGCCCTCAGCCTGTCCGACCCTGATCAAAACAGTAAATTGCCGCATTACTTCACGCAGTCCGTGACTCATAAGTATAGCTGCTTCCGAATGATTTATTTAGGATTAAAATGATGAGTTCTTCCGTGCAAGTCTCGAAACTTGATTTTTCAATCTTACTCGACAAAAATCACCCTATTGGAAATTGTGTTTACGTCGAATAAAGTCCTTTTTTCAGCGTGCACTTATGCAGTCAATTTGGTCTTGTATTAGTGGTTCGCCGTTTCTTTTACGAAAGAACTTAACTACATTCCAGTGTTGCCAAATTCCTCTTCGAAAATTGTACGTTAGCTGGGAAAATCTTAGGCATGTGTGAACGAAAATTTCCCTGATTTTCATCCTGATCTCATTCAAAAATTAGACAAATTTTGAGAAAAAATCGAGCAGGTAGCTTATTGTAAAAAATTGCATTGTTTGAACCAATTTTGCAACCTTGGAATAGAGTTACGTTCCCTCGACCGGAGAACGACAAATTGACCTCCTTATGCTCCTAAATTTATTGTATACAACGAGCATGCTGCTAATTTGAACCATGAGAATGTTGTGTTGCCTGATTGCTGAATGAAGGGGCATTACCCTGTACTTTGCCAAACTTAAAGTTCACCTTTTCCGATCAAAAAATTGATAGCTACAATGAAAAGAGTGCAACATCTCAAGAGTAGTACTACTGCTGTTCATACTGCTAAAAGTTATTTTTACTAATTTTTTTTTTTTTTTTGGGGGGGGGGGCTTTGAAAGCGGGGAGAAAACCAAGTTTCGGCAACTACTGCTCGCATCTGCCAGGGGCGGACGTTTTCTAATTTTGAAAGAGTTCAAAAACTGCAGAATTGAAATCGCAAAATCAGCAAACATCTTTAGTTAATCTCCAGACACATCATTGAACCTCAAAATCCTCTGAACGCTAGCTCCAGCGATCTCAAACACACAAATTGAAAATATGGGAATTAGCGGTTTCCGCATAAGCCGATTCAATGAGGGATTTAGTTTTCAAATGTGATCACCTACTTTCAATGTAAATGTCGGTCCGCCAACCCGGCACAATGCTTTCGACCTTTGAACTTTTCTTTTCGTCCCGATTATTCCATTCCTCTCGCAAAAACCGTATGAGGTGTTGGACACCTTTCCTCACGATTCTTTCCGGTGGATATTCAAGAGGATTATTCGTAACCTGGAGACCTTTCAATGTTGATACCGCACCTGTAATCATGCAGCATTAAAAAAGTTCTGTTCTGAAAAAATGTTCATGCATGGTGACTGCAGATAAATATGTGAATTTTAGTGTGGCGAGAAGATTTATGGAAAACATTATTTAGAAAAAGGATGATAGATTTTATTATCTTGTTACCTAATTATTTTGACACCGACCAATACCGGCTGTACCTTGTACGGCTGAATTATGAAGTATGAAGTTCCATCATCCAGTGTACATACAACTCTAGGTTGAAAAATTTAACATTTTTCTGACTTCACACTACATGTCACGAGTTAAAAATCATTTTATAAGCAGGTCGTGACATAAAGTGAAGGTTTTATGAAGAAAAACAATTTTAAGATCGGCAATAATCACGAATCTTTTATTCTAAAGATAACCTTCTCCTTGATGGCAACATAAAACAATATCGATAGGTAAAGTCGGCAAATGTGCACGTCCAATTATGATGTTTAAAATCGCAGCGTAAATATGTTTTATTTTCCTAAAAAAACCAGCCATAGGTTTGTTTAACACTTTGTGAATTTATTTCGCTCAGTTGAACATATCCATGAAGAATTTTAATGTATCATTTTGGTTGATTTTCCCCAGAAAAAATAAAACAACATCCAGTGATATTGAAACGTATCAATGGAAATGCACACTTCTCAATTTTACCGCTGAACCAAGCTAGAAGGCCGTGTGAGCCTTGAGACTTTGCCAAATCTCCTTCGGCAAATCATAAATTTTCAGAAAAATTTGTAAATTTTTTTCTTCCATTTTTTCAGAGGATTTTGTTCGTGATTTGAGCTGAAGTGCCCGAAAATTTAAAGGAGAAATATTCTCAAAGGTTTTTCAAAAATAAATATTTTCTGAAAGGCAATTTGGCAACATTCGAATGCTCATACGGCGTTTCTCCTTAGCCAGTGGCGTGGCGTCCTTTGCGATATATCGATTGATCTGCCATTTAAACCTATGGAAAATGATCGATAACAGGGTGTTCGCAACGAACACCTCAATAATCGATTTTTTACCGTAGTTTCAAATGGGGAAATGTCGAAAATCGATCATTCACGCCTCGTCACTGTTCAGCACAACAGTTTTGCCATCGATATGGAAAACTTACCTAACTCCATTGGGAGGGCAGAAAGTTGGTTGTCATCCAGCAGCAGAGTTTCAAGAGTTCGGTGGTTCTTGACAGTCGTTGGAAAGGTTCTCAGTTTATTATTTCTCAAATCAAACCACCTTAAGTGAGGAAAATGTCCGAACAAGTCGACAGGAATCTGCTCAATGTTATTGTTTGCCAAGTATAGGCTCTGAAATGTAAAGGAGCTTTGAAAGTGACACGATGAGAGTGAAACTGCAAAAACATATCTCATTTGCGGTGTTTTAAAATCTCTTCTCCCATTTTATTTAATCCAAAAAGAACAAACCGCAACGTTAACATTTAAATTGTTCTCTTTTTTCTACTACTCCCATATTATAATATACTTGTTCTTCTCGGACATCCCCAAAATTAAAGTTTCATTTGCCTTTTATTCTTTAAATATGTCGACGGCGTAAGTCCGCAATCACCTATCTCGTTCGCGGTGTCTGCAAATCTCCGCCTCTATAATATTTTTTTTAAAAGAGAACAAATTGACATCAATCCTTGAAGTTTTTGCAGAATTTTCTTCGCACAGAGAGGAAAAATCACGGCAGTTTTAAAGAATTGTCGTGGATTAGTTTTCGTTTAAAAAATAAAGCATGTCAGGAAGTCTGCGACGTCGCAAACCGAGTTATGTGATTGCCGACTTACACCGTCGATATGTAACCTCTCCCTGACACATCAAAATTATACGTCAAAACTTTTGGAAGCCGAATAAATCTAAAGCACTACGACTATCAGGTAGATTTATTTATTTATTTATTATTTTTTTAGGACGCATAAACTTTTGTGTACCTTTTATCTTTTAACATTTCATTTTTGCTAAACTCCTTGAATTTATTTTTGTCAACTTAACAAAAATTTATGATAAGTGGAGAAAACGCATCTTGCGTGTTGGAAATAATATAAAATAATAAAGGAATAAACATAAGAATAAATAATTGTCTGTGTTTTGTGTTCATAATTTTATTCTTGCTGAATATGGCATTTTTGTGCCGAAATGCATTCAAGGAAAAGAAAATAAACATTTAGATCCCAATTAAAAATGCGTGTTTTGGTAAACTGTTTATTCTTTTATTATTTTAACAAATTAATGATTAGACGAGGCAAATCATATGAAGACACAACTTACCTGTAAATTTTGAGCTGCGTACAAAAATGTCGGCACACTGTCCAAGTTCCAACCTCGGAAATCGTTATCATTATCATGGCTTTTATTAGCGAGCCCCGGAGTCATTCTTGATGATCTACACAGATCTTTCACAGTATATAAAATATATTATATATAATATATTATTAATATTAGTCTATAAAAATTGTTCTTCATTCACTATCCACGAGGTCTAGAACTCATTTAAGCAAGCCGAACAAAATCGAACAACTAGATCCGCTGGAAGTAGGTAAAGTACCCATCGTAAGTTACATAATTTTAAGAATGAGGAGAGGAGAGGTAGCATGCTAGCGCAACCTAGTTCTTTCCATAAACCACGCGGTGTATAACTCCAACCCCATTGTGACGTGTCGCCATGGCAACTTGTTGACAGTCCTAGTAGTTAGCGCACGATTAACAGTTGTAAATTCAGATCATCTGGCTTGAATGCTCGATTTATAGATTTTTAGGGTTTGTGCTGTGTAGACAGGCTCTTAAATTTTCCTTACTCTTCGAACTTAGCATGAGCTTGAAATCGAGACATTTTAAGCAAACCACATTTTTAAAGAAAAACTGAAGAAGAAAAAACCCTGTATTAGCAAAAAAACGCATTTGCAATCCGCTCGCAACTTTATAAATCTGATGTATAGAAGCTATTGTGACCACCTCACCCTCACTAACCTTCTGTCTAGTTTAAGAAAAAAAAAAAGAAAAAAAGAAAACAATTTTGTCTCTAAATTACAAAGTGGAGTTAAAGAGAAATTAAAAGGTCAACAAATAAAATAAAAAAAGGATTTCTTCTAACTCACAAAGTGGAGTCAAAGCGATATTAAAAAGTCGACAAATAAAAACATGAAAAAAGGATTTCTTCTAAGTAACAAAGTGGAGTTAAAGAGAAATTAAAAGGTCGACAACCTATTTTCTAAATTCTTAGTAAAGACGTTAATAGCCTGTGACGCTGAATGTCTTTGAATAATATTAACTAACAAACTAACTAAATAAGCTACAAATTTTTCGGTTGTTTGTATACTCTCATTTACTAATACTTCATTGAAAACGTATATAATATTGTACAATCTAGACGTTCACACTGACATATTTTTTAAAAAAAAAAAAAAAACCTTCCTTAGCCTCATCAGAAACGAGCGCAAAACTCAAGAGCAGTCACAGCGACGTCCCTAGTGGACGCGGAGCGACCACATGCAACGACACTATTATTTATACTCATAAATTTGACTGTGGGGGTGCCGGCATCGATGAACCCGGGGGGGGGGGGGGGGGGGCTCTGTGGGAAGAGGAAGACGCGAGGATGTGTGAGCGGTGGCGGTGGCGCGGCGCGGCAAGTTCTCGACTTCCGAAACAGCGCGGGCTTCAGTTATCTCTCGCGACTTGGTGCGGTGCGATGGGTGTGCGTGTGTGAGCTGTGCTGTGTTGTGTTTCCGCCGCATCTGGATTTTTGGATTTTTTTTGGATTCGTGTTGGATTTCGGATCCCGGCGCCGCTATGGCCTCCCCTGCGCCCCCCTCGGAGCAGCTCCTTGATGGTGAGTCTCCTGATTTCATGCGAACCGGCGCGCATCGCACCGGTCCGAAAGTTGCAACTTTCCCGCTCTCGGAAACGCACGGGATCATTTTCCAGAATGTTCCCAACATTTTTTGACTAAAATGTTTTGTCCTGGGAAATTTTGCTAGAGTTGCACACACGCAAAAAAAAACTCACACTATGAGGAGTTCCGGCGAATCGATTACTGACGTGCGACACCACGTATCTCAATTGCGGTGTTTCAAAATCCCGCTCCTGATTTAATTTTTCAAGGAGGAACAAGTCAACTTTATAGCTTGAAATGTTTACAAAATATTCTATTAATAGTGGAGAAAAATCAATGAAGTTTTCATGAAATTACGCTGACTAGTTTTCCAAGGATAAAATAAAGCAGTCTTTCGTGGAAGTCTACAACGTCGCAAATGGAAGTACGTGGTATCGCAATTTGGCCATTTGAATGTTCCTAGCACGGGCTCGGCTCCCACGTGGTCGAACAATGGTATCATCTTTGAATGGCATGCTTCCTTGAAATCTACATAAAAGATACCTTTTTACCGGACGGGAAGAGGTGACTTTAACGTCATGTCAGTCCGCCTGCAACTTTTCGTGTAGGCAACACGAGTTCCCACGTGGTCGAATAGTGGTATCATCGTGGAATGGCATGCTTACTTAGAATCCACATAAAAGATAGCTTTTCACCGGACGGGGAGAGGTGACTTTAACGCCATGTCAGTTCGCCTTCAACTTTTCGTGTAGGCAACACGAGCTCCCACGTGGTCGAATAGTTGTACCACTGTGAATGTACGCCGTAAAACATAAATGGCTCAGACCACGTGGACCATCCTCCCATTTCGCTACACTTATGGGGATGAGAGAGGGATCCTCACTTACAAATTTCTAGAGATTACAATGTTGGAGGAAATATTCCGGTCATGCAATAAGCCTTTGTTTCTTTTCCTTTTTAATGGTTTCTATTATTATGAACAGTAGCGAAACGTGAAAGATCGGTTATTGATGATTCCCCATCTGAGGCTACACTGGGAAAAAAAACACATTAGATCTAGAGCCCAGACTCTTAAAAACATCGACAAGAAAAAATACTCTTGATTCAATCGGATTTTTGCTTAAATTAAGAGCCAAGCCTCTTAATTTGAGCGGATTCCGTTTTGATTTAAGCAAAAATCTGATTGAATCAAGAGTATTTTTTCTTGTCGATGTTTTCAAGAGTCTGGACTCTAGATCCGATGTGTTTTTTTTCCAGTGTATGTTAAAGAATCGACTATTAAGGTGTTCGTTGCGAACACCCTGTTCATCGATTCTTTTCCATAGGTTTAAATGTCAGATCCATCGATTTATTTATCGCAAAGCACGTCACGCCACTATATTAATTATATCTTGAAGCTCCTCTCGGCGATGCTCTTCAAAATATTTCTTTTACTATATTTTGTACTATATTTTCCGATCGAGAACTACAATTTCTCGCTCATTATAGAAACAACATATGTGCTTTTGGTTTTCCTATGGAGGTAGGTGCTTTTGTGGATGAGCCAGATATTGTAGTTCCTAATTGCTCAAACGTATCCCATTTGATGCAGCTTACACGAAAATTAAGAGACTTCTGATAGAAGATATTGAATGAGGGAGGGAAGTAAATATGGAATGAGATATACTGCCGTGCTAAGGAAAAACACCGTATAAGCCTTTAAACGTCACCAGATTTCCATCAATAAAAACCGGCTTCACTGGAAAAATTTTGAGTACTTTTCTACAAATTTTTCAGACAATTTTGTTCGCAATTCGTTCTAAAATATCTGGAAATTTCACGGGAAAATGTGAATATCTTTCCCTTTAAAATACATGTTTTATCCGAGAAAATTTGGCAACTCTCGAATGTTCATACGGCTTATTTTCTTAGCACGGTAGTATATGGGATGGGAGGGTTTCAACTCTCTTTACAAAGATGACAAAGTGTGCTGAGGCGCTTGCCAAAATGTCTCACGCGTTTACATGATTTTATCTGTAATACTCAGCTTAAAAACTCATTTATTTCAAAATCGCTAAGCTAAGGAAATGAAACTTCAAAAAATATCAGACTTCCCGTTAAATTTGTGGATAATGAATCATTAATTGCAGTATTGACATATGTGTAAAATGCGTTTTTAACACTATTAACTTCAGTTCAGTCTTCGAAAATTGGCTACATTCGGGCGAAACGCATGGTGCACCTTGTTTCTCGGAAGTAGTTTAATTGGCCGGTTGGGTAAGATTAGATGGACAGTGATAGGTTCCTTTCGTGCATGTGACGTCATATAAACGCTACATTCATATATTTTAGTGCTTGACAAATCGTTCGGCTTTAGTAATGTAGGCGTTACCTCACCTCGGTGACATGCAGCGCTGCCAGACTTGGACCGCTAAACGGTCTACTTTGAAAGTTTATTTTCGAAAGAACTTGTTAAACTTGGGCTTACTTGCTTTTCACTAAACAAACGAGGAAGATTTTGTGTTGACTTTTGATGATCTCGCATCGGTGCATGTTCGATTTATTTATTTACTTTTTTTTCATTTTGGCGGCGATTAGTACAGTCAGAACGCGAGAATACGCAATAAAACTTCGCTACCTGTTATCCCCCAAGTAAAATTCCGGGAAATTCTCCGGAAATGGACAGCAACATCCTAAAACCGTTGGAAAAAAAGGACAGAGTCACAATGAGTATTCAATAGAATTTTTCGCGGAAATAATCGCTTCTCTATTCTATTTTCTCGAATTCTACGACCAAGCAGGTAAATGCATACATGCACTAAAATTTCAATGGTGTGACTGCAGAAATGCGTGATTCGGTTCGGAGCGTCCCAGACTTCCTGTCATAGTTCGTTTCCCCCATGGAAAACTGCTGAACGTCATTTTTTGAAAATTACAGTGATTTTTCTTCTATTTTTCAAGAGTATTCTATGAAAACTTCAAGCCACGATGATGGTATGGTCTCCTTTTAAAAAATAAAATAGTAGCGGAGATTTCGAAACACCGCAACCAAGATATGCATTTTTGCTATTGGCGGATCCAGCAAACTGGCAACATTGTTTTTTTCTCAATTGAAACCTATGGAAATGTATCGATTCTTGAAGGGGCCAGGTGCTCCGACAAGAATCGATTATTTAACATAGCTTTAAATCGAGGAAATCCTGTGTTGCCAAATTACTGGATCCGCCCTGATTTTTGCAGTTTCGCCGTCGATTCGTTTCTTTTTTAAGATTTTATTAAAATCGTGTAAAATCCTAAAAATGGTTTCACGATAAAATTTTTCACAAATTCCTATTCCTTTGAAAAAAATTTTGATGTGAAATCTGACATTTTTAGTGCGAAACGATCGTCAGACTACGTGAAATAGCATAAAAATAAGTATTTCCCCATCTCATTTTCTTTTAATGGAATTCATACAGGCAGAATACTTTCGAAGTCCTGCACAAATACTCCGGTCTCTTGGGCATTAACTAAAACTTTGACGCACAATGATGTATATTGCTCATTGTTATTTTTCATGCGAAAATTGGCAAACTCTTGAGTTTCTAGAGGCGCCAGTTTCGCACTCCGATTTCGGAAACGCTCGTACTTCGGAATACGGAAACATTGACATCATACCATCCGTGTTTACCGACAAAAACCTTGCCAGTAACGCGCGATGAGACGGCTAGTTTTTCTATGAATTCGGAAGAAGGAGGGAACCGAATTCTCCTAAGATGGAACCAAAACTCGGTAATTTTCAAAATGCTCTCAAGATGAAAATGAGAGTTATCAGGTTTCAGGTCAGAATTTCAAGGATATCAGCTGGAGCCCACCGGAACGTGCAATATTCATCGAGTGTTCGCCAACTCGCGCAGTTCATTTTGTTAAAAGAAATATTAACAAAAATATCCATTTTCAGATTTCATTTTTAACGTTTTGTGATTTTAACAATCTGATTCGGCTGAACTTACGGCAGGACTTTTTCTGGGTATCCTCGTTTTGGATCCACCATGAGGTTTCTCAAAGAGTACACTATGAGTAATTCATTCTATCTGAAGATCTGGATGTCCTTCCCTAGTTACACACATATAAACAAAATCAGCGTAACTGTATTCCACGGTATCGGATTTCCTCTCATGTCGTTTTATTTTCATGCCGGAGAACGAACCTGCAAGACGTCTTTGAACTGTCTCCTCTAAATTACAAGGAATTTACTGAATTTTAAGTCTCGGCGTTGCTATGGTTTTCTGTTGAAAAGAAAAAAAATCACAGAAAATTAGGCAGTGTATGATGTAGTTAGGCTAATTCTGGACAAATTTGGTCTCCTGAAGGAAAAATTTCGCCGAACAGAAGTAATCTCTTTTGAAACATAAAAAATTTAACCCCCTGGTCAAAATCCTTCTTGAATGCCCCCACTGATTTTACTGGTCCTTTTTTCTGACCGGAATGTTGGAGTGAGACACTGATAGCGGAACGATCACTACACTGGTTAAAAAACCTCTTGGACCAATGCCGCGGTGCATTGACTTAAGAGTGCAGTTTCTTGTTGCCGGATTTAAGAGTCTTGAACTCTTGTTTCAAGCGGATTTTGCATTGATTCAATTCAAAATCCGCTTGAAACAAGAGTCCAGACTCTTAAATCTGGCGACAAGAAACTGTACTCCTGAACCAAGAGGTTTTTTTTAGTGTAGTCTGCCGTGCTAAAGAAAATCGCCGTATAAACATTCGAGAGTTGCCAAATCTCCCTCGATAAAGCATGTCTTTTTACGGAAAGTTATGCGTTTTTTTGCTTGACATTTTCAGATATTTCAGATTAAATTGCAAACAAAAATCGAAAAAAATATGCAACATTTTTCAAGGAAAAATTAGGTTCCATAAAGGAAAATATGGCAACGTCTGAAGGCTTCTACACGTTCTTCCTTAGCACGGCAGAAGTGGTCTTGTTTCTTCTAATAATTTTGATCATAACCAATGAGGTATTAACGACCAGTCAGTTC